AAAAAAAAAATAAAAAAAATAACACTCCCCCCCCCCCCCCAAAAAAAATATATTTTTAACCCTCAATGCGACATTTAAAAACACAATTCAACAGTAAATCCCAACACATTAAAAATGCATATGAAATGCACATTGAGATATGAACGCGCCCCTGCAAATCACAGACGAATGACACTAAAGACCCGCTGACTTTGTATTAAAGCTTTGTGAATTGAGCGTCATACGTGGAATAAAGACGACTTACCAGGAAGATGAGGCTGATGAGGATGAGAAAGGTTTTGGAAGTACATGATCCGACCCCCATTGTGCGTCTGTTGTCAGAGAAGTGCTGTGATTGTACGGAGAGCTCGCAGGGACTGCTTCTACCTCCCTACGATGCCTGGAAATAAGAAGCCGAACATCACATGCTATGAGCTATCCCAGCAGTCACATGACTCCCTCCCCCACAGGTGAACGCCTGATACATCATTTCCTTCCTCTGGGTACAATGTAGACAGCGCTCAGCACTGATCAATCCCATATCACAAGGTAGAGATTTAACCCTTTCGCTGCCAAGCCCTCCGGAACATTTTTCAAATCAGCTGGCAGAGCCATTTTTTAATTTTCTGCAATTTTTTCCTATTGATTTGATTTTCAACTGCTGCGTTGCTAGCGTTTGTAAAAGACCCCCCAAACCATATATTTTCTGAAAGCGAAACTCCGGGCAGATATAAAAGACACATCAATGCAGCTCTGTATTCATTAATACATCATTAACCTCTTCCTGTTCAGAGCAATCTTTTACATTTTTGGCACACATGTTAAAATCTGAACTTTTGGCTAGAAAATAACTTAAAGGAGATCTATGAGACGAGTGCTTTTCACTCACCTCATAGTTCTAGCCGACCTGTACCCCAAACAATTATATATTTTCTGAAAGCTGAATTTAAAAACGGTAGCTGCGATTTCTTTTGTTGCGAGATATTTGCACAAATGTTTATCAAATTGATATTTTTTGGAACAAATACACAAAATTTAGTTGTGCTCACAGACACAATGTAATACCTATTTTTTGGGGTAAAGTTGCAAAGATGAGGCTGGTTCGATTAGATACTAAACATGTCAAGTCTTAAAATTGCGAGCACCCGTGAAAATGACGAAATACTACGGTACCCAAAATTGTACATAGGTGTTGTTTAAAAAGACTTTACCGCTCATCAGTTTAGAGTTGACAGTGAATGATGGTCCTAGAATTATTACTCTCACTCCGATGTTTACGGCGATACCTAACTTGTGTGGCGCAATTTCATACTCATGCGCCCTACATGCCCGTTTGCAAGGGGAGTGGGGTGGTAGGGTTTTGGGGGTGCAAGAGGGGTGGGGTGGCAAGGTTGCTTTTAAATGTATTTTTCTATATTTTTATTTATTTTATTATTGAACTGTGGGCAGGAGGTGTGTTTGGGGTGCCATTCAAATGAATGGCAACGCACCTCCCACACCAGAACACGTAGTAGGTGCGATTGCATGGCACAGTGCGTTATTCGCACAGGGCTGTTCGATAAACACACTGTATTAGTGTGAACGGGCTTTCAAAAACACTGACACACACCCAGTCTACCGACATTACGAGAACTGGAGTGGATCCTCAGCCTGGGGTCCAGTGTGGGCTGCTGTGCTATGTAGAGGTGCCGGGAGCTAGAACGTGATGTCACTCCGGTCTAGGTACTGCTACAGGACATGCTGTAAGCAATCCATGTATGGATGGAGCTCCCTCGCAGCCATGGCTCCAGCCCACCACCTCATGATGACACTCGGCACCGAGCAGCATATGAATAGCTGCTTGGAGTGGGAACTGACAGTGCTGCGCTAGGGGGAGGCTGAGGAGCCCCTCACCTAGAAAAGTGGATGGAACGTGGCGACCTACTGAACATGGGGTCGCGACACACTTTTGGGTCACGACCCACCAGTTGAGAAGCAAGGCTTTAGGGAGACATCAGGGGTCTATTAAATCTCTAATGTCTCTCCTGTCCTCTGCTGCTTTATCCAGCATGTGCCAGCTGTGAACACGGAAATGCTTATACCGTGTTTCCCCGAAAATAAGACAGTGTCTTATTTTATTTTTTTCACGAAAAAAGACACTAGGTCTTATTTTCGGGGGATGTCTTACCTGGCTGCAGCTGTCCGCTCTGCCGTCCAGGGAGCCACGAACAGGAACAGGTGGGTGGGCGTGCGGGTGTGTCTGGCAGTGGGGCGGGAGGGAGCTGCCTCTCCGCTCTGATGCAATACATGGAGAAACAGACAGGTGGGCGGGCGAGGGGGCGGGCATGTGTGCGGGGGGGCGTGTTTGGCAGGGGGACGGGATAGAGCTGCCTCTCCGCTCTGATGCCATCCAGAGAGCAACAGACAGGTGGGCGGACGAGGGAGGTGGCCGGACGAGGGGGCGGGAGGGAGCTGCAGCCGGTCTTTACATGTAAAATTGATTTACATGTGCAGCTATCCCGAAGGTAAGACCTAGCGCTATCTTCAGGGATGTCTGTAATATAAGACCTACCACCGAACTAGGTCTTATTTTCGGGGTAGGTCTTATATTACAGAAATCCCCGAAGATAGTGCTAGGTCTTATTTTTGGGGTAGGTCTTATTTTCGGGGAAACACGGTAGCACAGCTGACTCGACCGGCTCCCGCTCGCCATCCTGCAGTCGTCTATTGGGGCCCCATGCCCCCCGGAGGACAAGAAGAGCCTGGAAATCACAGCATGCAGTTCTGCTTGACAAACATGCCCATTGAAGTCAATGGGACTGTGCCAAGCTAAGTGGTTGCGGCGCAATATTCAATATAAAATCCTCCTTGGGATAGAAAAAAAAACAGGCATTCATTAGGCGGCAGTGTCAAATAACAAACGTCGGCAAACCACCGCTCAACCACCTTGGAAAAGGTGATCCAGGGGAGAATGCTTTTCAGAGGGATGTTAAAGAAAGCCATCCATGTGTTTTATAATACAAGCAGTGTAAGTACCTGAATTTTGTACCAGTACCAGTGCCAGGAAAAGGTCATTCAGTGCCCACATGAATGCCCAGAAAAATGGCTGTGGTGTCACTGGAAGAAACAAAGCCGCTGGGATTCGAACCAGGGACCCCCAGGTACAGAGACTCCAACCTTTCCAAGGGCTCCAACCCTTCTGCACCATACCTTATCCAAAACAAAATAAAAAGTTTTGGCTGTGGCTGGGCTTTATGTACCTAAAGGGTTACAATATGTCACATTTTTTTACCCAAACTCTACTGCATTTGTTATTTTGCCAAAAGCTATGAGTGGTGCAAAAAAATCACAGGTTTAATGTGTATCTAAAGCCAAAATGTTTATTTTTAGTCCTAGGTAGAGTAAAGCTGAGTTAGACCCGCTGTCAGGTCTTTATTGCTTCTATATATAGAGGGGAGGTAAGAATTTTACCGTATAAATATCCAATGCTTTATCATAAAATATACAAATAAATACATATTCCCCAACATCATAGTCCTGGATCCTCAGACACTGTTAGCCATGCCCAAGGGGTGCATTTCATCCACCCACCTTCTGAGTGGGCGCATCCAAGTTATGGGTTAGTCCAGACCCCACCTCAATATATGCAGGGAATGCCCATGGGGTCACGTCCAGACCGCACACTGGCAATCCTGATCCACACAATTATTGCCTTTCTGAGTTTCTGATTTGCTGTGCATGTTCAATAACCCAACTAATGTTGATGTTTGATCCCAGGACATGGACACGGTGAATATAATTAGTTGTGGGGTACCGGGTCTTCAAAAATAATATTAATGTTGTATTTGGTCACAAAAACCCTTAAGGCTGGGTTCACACCTAGGCGTATCGAATATGCGCGTTTGTCCTTTTTTTTTTGTTTCCGAGGGCCACCTGGCTGTATCCCAATGGATACGCACTGCAAATACGCCCCAAAGAAGCTCCTGTACTCCTTTGGGCGTAGGGCGTTTTGTAGCGCGTTCATGCGGCCTGTAATTCGCCCAGGTGTGAGCCATACCCATAGGAAATAATGGGATTTCGGTGTTTGAGCGTTTTGCAGAGCGTAGGAACGCGCTACAAAACGCCCAGGTGTGAACCGGGCCTAAAGTGATATTAAAGTCAAAAGGTTTTTATGCCATTTTAAATGCTGAAATCACTTACAATGGATGTTGCTCCTTGATGTTTAAAAGTTGTAGCTTCCTGCAGAATCAGCCGGTCCCCCGAGCACTGGTCCTGATATCCTGTTTTAGGGCCGGTTCACAACTAATCCAGTGCATTCCAGCATTGTTAGTTGCTGGAACGCACTGGATTGCATAATAAAATCCTCCCTGCGTTCTGGTGCAGGAGGGGGCGTGGTGGTGCATTCAAGTCAACAGCACCTCAACCACACCTCCCAGCCTGCACTATTTTTTGTGATCGCACCGCGGGCATTATTGTGCCACGTGTTCAGGTGCAGCTGATCGCACTGTGAGCCAGGAGGCGTAGCTGCGGTGCCATTGACTTCAATGCCCCTCCCATCTCGGAACGCAGAGAGGCTGCAATTATGCAGTGGATTAGGTGTGAATAAGCCCTTAGGATGGCTCCTTTCCCTTGCATGGGTCCTATGGAGCCACCCTTGTGTGTGCTAGTACATTGTGTGTGTCTCCACAGGCACAGCAAGGCAAGACATTCCCCTGATCCCCACTCCTTCTTCTTCCTTTCTCCAAGCTAGTAGATGGACGGCTGCTGAAGACTGCTCTGACCCTTATGATCTTATACTGGACAGGAAGTTCAAGGAAGCCGAGCTAAAAGAGTGTGAGCTCTTTGGAAACATGATGACTGTGAGTGCCCGCAGAAAAACATAAAGAAACAATTTGCTGGGCAATGTACATTTGTTTGATCCGGATTCACTATTGAAAAAAGTCTGAGAGTTTAATACTACTTTAAGGGATCATATTATTATTTACAGAAAAAAAAAAGTACAAAAATCATTGGGGGGAATTGATCAAAACTGGAGCAGACAAAATCTGGAGCAGCTCTGCATGGCAACCAATCAGGTTCTCTCTTTCATTTTCAACTCTTAACTGAAAAAACTACAGAGAGAAGCTGATTGGTTGCCATACACAGCTGCTGCAGTTTTGATACATTCCCCCCATTATGTCTGGTGCATTCTTTTCCCGATAGCCAAAACTGGCCACTTTGAATTAAAAACAATAAAAAAAAAAGGAAAAGACGAATGCCACAAGACAGAACCTTTTAAATGTCTCAGAGTAACCCATGTAGACTTGTATATGGTGAGTATGGTATATGTCTGGAATCTTTGTCATATGGTGATCCCCAAACCCTCAAAATCAAATCAGAATGCTGTGAGCTTCACCTGCAATCACCTGAGTGATTGCCAATTGTG